TTTCCTTTCCTTTCCTTTTTCCTTTCCTTTCCTTTTTCCTTTCCTTTTTCCTTTCCTTTCCTTTCCTTTCCTTTCCTTTCCTTTCCTTTCCTTTCCTTTCCTTTTTCCTTTCCTTTCCTTTTTCCTTTCCTTTTTCCTTTCCTTTCCTTTCCTTTCCTTTCCTTTCCTTTCCTTTCCTTTCCTTTTTCCTTTCCTTCTTTCCTTTCCTTTCCGATTAATTTTCCAACATTTAAAAACACAAAACTATATATATATACTGTTATCAACATCAGCACATCTTTTGCATTTCCTTACATTTTTCAATATACGGTTGCTTATTCCATTACCGCGGCGTCTTACCCCCCCTTTTTCTTTTCTTATTTCTCCAGTTTCATCCCTTCTTTCTTACGGCTGGGCTCCTGGAACGTGGTGATGTTTGTGTCTTACGAGCAGCTGAAAAGGTTGATGGTTTTGGCCCAGGTGTCTTGGGAAGCACCCTTCTGAAGTTCGCCGTCACCCCCAGCAGACCCGATACGATCCGGGCAAGAGAGCCAAAGAGAGAAGAGAAAAACTCAAAGGGAGGATTTTAAACAGCGGGACTTCCTGCAAACCGATTTTGCGGAAAGCATACCTATCAATTATATTAATTGCTACAAATATTATGCCCTGTAAGGCATGAATAGAATAGGATAACAGAGTTGGACGGGACCTTGGAGATCTTCTAGTCCAACCCCCTGCTTAGGCAGGAAAGCCTAAACCCCTTCAGACAAAGAGTTGTCCAATCTCTTCTAAAAATCTTCCATGAGACTTAAGGCACTGCAAGAAGAATTTTTTTATGCCATAAACAAGCCACAACTGGACATTGATCACACATCCTTGTTTAGCAGAGCCACCCCGGATGTGGATCACATATCATCTGAACTGATTCCAAGAGGTAAGGCTCATAAAATGCTACAAAACCACCCGATCCTAGCTTGATCCATGTTTCTGAAACAAGTTAGAGCGGTGGTCGCCAACCAGTGGGCCGGGGACCACTGGTGATCTGTGAGAAAATGTTGGTGGTCCGCAGAGAAATGTAGCCCCCCCACCCAAAGCAATTAATCCAGGCTGCGCAGGAACACGAGGCTGCGTCGCTTGCATTGCGAACAACACGAGGGAGTGAGGGGAGGGGGGAAAGGGCGGAGGGAGGGAACTTGCCCCACTCGCCCCACGCGCCTGGCCTGGCCACCGGGCTGCTTCTTTCCGCTTCTTTCTTCTTCTGCTTTTGGCTGCACGCAAGGAAAGCAGAAAAAAATATTTCTTTCTCTCCCACAAACTCCGCCAGAAATGAGTCTTTGGGGACCCTGCAAGGCCTCCTGCTCCAAGAGGCTGCGCCGGCAAAGACTCCTTTCTTGGCGGAGTTTGCGGGAGAGAAAGAAAGACTTCTGCAGCTTCTGCTGTTTTCCTTGCATGAAGCCAAAAGTCTCTCTCTCTCCCCCCCCCCTCACCCCTGAGAACAGAGCTGGAGACAGTATCCTGCAATCCCAAATAAAGAACGATCAATCGGTAGGAAAACGGGATGAGGAACTTTCCTGCAGATTTTCTTTGGGATTTTCCCAGGGTCTCTGGTCCACGGGATTTCAAATTATGACTTTGGTGGTCCCTGAGGTCCAAAAGATTGGCGACCCGTGTGTTAGAGCAAGGTTTTTGAAAGTCAGCCGCTGGAAGATGGGTGGACTTCAACTCCCAGAATTCCCTGTCTTAAAAGCCTTCTGGCTGGGGAATTCTGGGAGTTGAAGTCCACAAGTTGCCAAGGTGGGAAAGCAATTTTCAGGATTGGGGGTGGGGGCACGAGGCTGTGCACCACCAGGGTTGGTGATGCCCCAACTCAGTAACAATTTGCAGAGGTAGCTTTGCATGCCAAAGAAAACGCAGTGAAAAAGCCACCACACACACACACACATATACACAAAATGTAAAAATTATAGTTGTGTATTACGAAGCAAAATAGAAGAAACAACCCAAATTGCCAGGAGTCTAGAACCATGATGGCGAACCTATGACACGCATGCCACAGGTGGCACGCAGAGCGATTTGTGCCGGCACGTGAGTTGCAGGCAAACTTACCTCACTGCACATGCGTGCACCTCCAGGCTGATTTTCGGCCCGTTTGAGGCCTTTTTTGGTTTCCCAGAGGCTTGAGGAAAGCCTCTGCAGCCTTTGCAGGATGAAAAATAGGCCCGTTTCATCACTTCCTGTCTCTCTGGAAATACCAGAAGTGACAAAACGGGCCTAGTTTTCGGCCTGCCAAGGCTGCAGAGGCTTTCCTCAATGGGTGCATTGCCTTCTGGGTGCTGGCAAGCGATTGCACGCGGACAAGCACACACACAATTTTTGGCACAGGAACCCAAAAAGGTTAGCCACCACCGGTCTAGAAGGCCTTGTGATAAAGTTAACATCTTCTGCACCCGTCTGTTGCAGCAAAGGAAAAAACGCTACTGCAAAGGATAAAAAAAATAAATTCTGAAACTGATTACAAAACGGTACAAGATGTTGCAGCTCTGTAATGTTTTTTTTTTAAGTAAAAATAATCCTCTTGGTTAATTTTTCTCTAAGAAGGGTAGTTGGTAGCACTTCACTTTAGCCAAATTAAAAAAAAAACACTTGTTTTTTTGTTTTGTTTTTTATTTTTCTTATAAGTATCTATCTCATGTATTCAAAACTATATTTATTCTTATACCTGTATCTTGTAAGCGATTGACCAATCGAATAAATACTAAAAAAATACTAACTATAGCTCTTCCTAACATTACATGAAATAGGAATTAGGGTTGCTGTAAATTTTCTAGTGTAGTGAAGCTGGAAACATTTAAAGTTTTAGTCATCAGAATATCCCAAGTATTTATTGACTTACTGTTTATTCCAAGGGACTACAAACTTGGCAAGTTTAAAACTTGTGGACTTCCAACTCTCAGAATTCCTGAGCTAACATCCCTGGGGGAGGAATTCTGGGAGTTGAAGTCCACAAGTTTTAAAGCTCTCAAGTTTGAAGATTTGTTTTGTTGGAATATTTTTAAAAAAATTATGCAGAACTTTAGACTGTTGTGACTAAACCATCTTCCTTTCTGTTTTTTTTTTCTAGCGAAGGAACCAATGGAAAAGAGAACCTATTTTCTGAAATCCTACTAGGAAACGCTGCCATAAACATAAATTATAATAAATTACCTGGGAAACCAAGCGCTGCCTCCCCCAAGAGACTTTCGGGGATAAAATCAAAGCCCTCTGCCTTTTCTCTCAATAAACTTTTCTAAAAATTTCAAATATCTTTTAAGATTTATATCAGTATCACTTTAATCAGCCGCTTAGAACCATTTTTTTTTAACCGAAGTCACAATTCATACAAGCATTTTGATAGGTTTTATGATTAATAAACGAAAACAGATGTATTTAGTTTTAAAAATGACTTCAGAGAGTCAAGAAAAGATGATGAATAAATCTGGTTTTAACGTTGAGAAAAAGGATAAATATTACCTCAAAAATGTGAATTATGTGCTGTTTCAAAATTATTGTGTTATGGTATGGAATGAAGTTAAAAAAATAGGTAGAGATGAGGAAAACTGCCATTGTCATTGCTGGGAAGAATATCTGTGATTATGATGAATGTTTTACCTAGAATGCTATTTTTATTCCAGATCACACTGATGTACCTTTTAAGCAAGGGCAAAAACATATTTCTAAATTTGTCTGGCAAGGCAAGAAATGGAGAATTAAATTGCTGCAGGATTCTACAGAAACAAGAGAGTGAGGACTTTTAGATTTGAAACTCTATTTGGCAGTTTTTTTATTGAGTATGGCTGAAAGAGTGGGTGACTTGAAGAAATAGATAGCTACAGGAATTGGAAGGATACGATTTAAAATTTGGTTGGCATGGCTATTTGTGGTACAATACAGCTAGTCCTCAACTTACGACCAAAAATGACCCCCAAATTTCTCTCAGTCTCCTGGTAATTGGCCCACAGAAGGAGGAGGAGGAAGAAGGGAGAGGAGGGGAGGAGGAAGGGAGGGAAGGAAGGAGAGAAGGAGAAGGAGGGAAGAGAGGAAGAAAGGAAGATGGGAATAGAAGGAAGGAAGGAAGATGAAAATGAGAAGGAAGGAAGGAAGGATTGGAATAAGAAGGAAGGAAAGAAGGAAGGAAGATAGGAATGAGAAGGAAGGAAGATGGAAATGAGAAGAAGGGAAGGAAGGAAGGAAGATGGGAATAAGAAGGAAGGACGGAAGGTAGGAATGAGAAGGAGGGAAGGAAGGAAGGAAGATGGGAATGAGAAGGAGGGAAGGAAGAAAGGAAGATTGAAATAAGAAGGAAGGAAAGAAGGAAGGAAGGAAGATAGGAATGAGAAGGATGGAAGATAGGAATGAGAAGGAGGGAAGGAAGGAAGGAAGATGGGAATGAGAAGGAAGGACGGAAGATAGGAATGAGAAGGAGGGAGGGAAGGAAGGAAGATGGGAATGAGAAGGAAGGACGGAAGATAAGAATGAGAAGGAGGAAGGAAGGAAGGAAGGAAGGAAGGAAGGAAGGAACTTGAACTCACCGTCTCCTGGTGATTGGCCCAAAGTCACCCAGCCAACTTTCATATCTAAGCAGAACTAGAACTCACCATCTCCTGATTTCTAACCTGAATTATGGACTCAGTGGCTGCTGAGAACAACACTGAAAAGGCTTCTCTGCTCTTACTCTCAACACACCTGGGAAGGCAGGTGAAACAACCTGGGGTTTGAAAGAGGCTACCGGTAGTCCTTGACTGACCACCAGAATTTCTTTTGCTATAAACAAGGCAGTGTTTTTTAAAGCCATGGTGGATTTTACGCCCGGATTTTGCCAGGCTTGTTAAGTGAATCCCACGGTCCTTAAACAAATTGGTTTTGTTTGTCAGAAGGTCGCAAAAGGGAGTTATGTGACCCCCCCCTGGAACGCTGCAACTCTTCTAAATACACAACACACAACACACAACCAAAGGGCATGTTAGCAAATGCATCGTGACATGGTTCTCTGCCTGTGACATCATTGTGCCCCCCCCCGAGCTGTGACAATTCAGCCCCACCTGTTCTATTAAAAAGGGTTCAACCCGACATCTCCAGTGCGGCTCTGCGGTTGGTAAACCACAATTAGTGGCTTAGTACCTGGTGGGCCTGAGACCAGGGGTGAGATTCTACCGGTTTGAACTGGTTCTATAGACCCGGTTGTTATGATTCCATGCAGTTCGAAGAACGGACAAATCGTACCCCTGGCTGGCCCCGCCCCTCTGTGTCCTCCCCTGCCCAGTCAGTCCTTATCGTGCATGCGCAACATTGCGCACACGCCCGACATTGTTGACTGCATTCTTCCCCGCCCCGTCACTCCTTAAGCTATTTCTTTTTTTCCCTCCCGACGATCAGCTGTTTCGATGATCAGCTGTGCCGGGATTCCCCTCAGTTATTTACTGCTTCGCCCAAGGAGGCTTCCCTGAGGCCCAGAAGGCCCCCCCCCCCAAAATGGGGGAGAGGTTTTGCGGCCAAAAAAAAAAAAAAGAAGCCACGCCCACCCAGTCACAGGGCCACTCCCGCCTAGCCACACCCACAGAACCAGTTGCTACAAAATTTGAATCCCACCCCTGCCTGAGACCGCTCATTGAGGCCACTTGGAGGTTTCTCTGTCTCCTCCGGGTCACCAGAGTGGTGCAAATGGGTGTGGAGCCTTCTTGGAACTGCTGAAAGGGCTGTTGTAAAACAGGAGACAGATGATGTCATATCCCTCCAGAGAAGAGAAGAGAAGAGAAGAGAAGAGAAGAGAAGAGAAGAGAAGAGAAGAGAAGAGAAGAGAAGAGAAGAATAAGGAAGGGAAGGAAATAATAGGGAAGGGAAGAGAAGGAGAAGAGAAGAGAAGAGAAGAGAAGAATTGGAAGGGACCTAGAAGGTCTTCTAGTCCACCCCGCTGCTTAGGCAGAAAACCCTCTACCTTTTCAGACAAAGATGATAACAGATAACAGATCATCAGAGTTGGAAGGGACCTTATAGGTCATCTAGTCCAACCCCCCGACCAAGCGGGAGACTCTACACCATTTCTGACAGAGGGCAGTCCAATCTCTTCTTGAACGCCTCCAGGGATGGAGCTTCTACAACTTCTGAAGGCAACTTCTGTTCTGTTGATTGTTCTCACTGTCAGAAAGTTTCTCCTTATTTCCAGGTTGAAAAATCTCTCCTTGGATCAGTTTCCATCCATTATTCCTTGTCTGGCCTTTGGGTACCTTTGAAAATAGTTTGACCCCCTTCCTCCTCTCTGGGGCAGCCCCTCAACTATTGGAAGATGCTATCCTGTCTCCCCTGGTTCTTCTCTTCACTAGACTTGCCAGGCCCAGTTCCTGCAACCGTTCGTTGCATGTTTTAGCCTCTAGTCCCCTCATCATCCTGGTTGCTCTTCTCTGCACTTTTTCCAGAGTCTCAACTTCTTTTTTATAGTGTGGTGACCAAAACTGGATGCAGTAGTCTAGGTGTGTTACTTACTAAGGCTTTATGGAATGGTATTAGTACCTCCCTTGATCTTGACTGTATCCCTCTGTTAATACAATTTAGGATTGCGTTAACTTTTTTAGCTGCACACGGCTGTCTCCTATTTAGCTGGTTGTCCACTAAGACTCCAAGATCTCTCACAGTTACTGCTATTGAGCCTGGTTCTACCCAGTCTATATGTGGACTTCTTGCCTAAGTGTAGAACTTTACTTTTCTCTGCATTGAATTTCATTTTATTAGATATGGCCCAGTGTTCTAGTCTGTCGAGATCCCTCTGGATCTTGAGCCTATCTTCTTGGGTGTTAGCTATTCCTGCCAGCTTAGTATCATCTGCATATTTGATAAGTTCCCCTTCTATTCCCTCATCTATGTCAGTCATTAATGAAGATATTGAAGAGTCCTGGGCCTAAGGAAGAACCTTGTGGCACCCCACTGCTTACTTCCCTCCAGGTAGACTTAGACCCCTTAAGGACTACTCGTTGAGTACGGTTTGCCAGCCAGTTGCGAGTCCATCTAGTGGTGGTGCTATCTATTCCTCCTTTTTCTAGCTTACTAAGAAGTAGGTTGTGGTCTACTTTATCGAATGCCTTGCTGAAATCTAAATATATTATGTCCACAGTATTTTGCTGGTCTTCTAAATTAGTGACTTTGTTGAAGACTGAAATAAGATTGGTTTGGCATGATCTGTTCTTAACAAACCCGTGCTGACTGCTAGTTATGACTTTACTTGTTTCTAGACAAGTTTCTAAACAAGTTAGTTTGTTGAGGATCCAAACTCTGTCAAGGACCTTGGAGTACTCATCTCTAATGATCTAAGTGCTAGAGCCCACTGTAACTAC